ATGTTGCCAAAATATATATTATTAACAAATTTATTACTTCAAATAAACATATATTATGAAATATATCTTACATGTAATTATCATTTAAACTTATGTCCTTTTTAGTAATTTCCACATATCAAAAAGCACTTCTGACAACAATTATCCAAACACTCTCACTTTATCAGAATTACTTTTTCAGAAAATATATTCTTTCAAAATCTATTCTCTTCAGAATCTATTCTCCAGAAGCTATTCTCCAAACTATGGTTTTGCCTCATCCAAACACCCCCTTAGTTTGAGAAAAGCAGAATATTATTGCAATATCATTAGTATACTAGGAGGTGTTCAAAATGGAAGTTATAAAACCCAAACAGTACTTGTTCAGTTAAAAGTCTAACAAGCCTCCAGAATGTTCGTAGGAAAAGAATTAGATTAGAATCATGGCCCGACTCATACACATTAAGAAAAACATTATAAACAATATTTTTTTAGAAGAATACACTAACACTAATTGGAATAATCAACTATGTTACTCTTTAACAGAGGAAGTGGTTCTATAAAGCGTGAACTGAATATATACTTTAATTGAAGAAATTTTTCTTGCTAGAAGAACTTGAGGAAGGTTTCCGAATGATAAAAATGAAGTCAAATTTTGGAGTGGTAACTGAGGCCCTCTACATTATTGTCAATGGTTGGTTGCATGCCGAAAAGAATCCCAAAGAAAGAACAAAAAACTTAGCGGCGCCTAACAATTTCTATCCAATTAATTGTTAAATTGACAAATGTTTTGTGGAATGGTAACATTGTGCCACCTTTAAGTTTGCGATGCCTAATTCATCTTGAAAATAAGTTTAAATACATAATTACTTGGATTAAGATTTAATTTTGTCTTAAAAGTTGCTTGCGTAGGAATTATTGGTATCTGGAAATTTTTTACTATCAATATCACTCAATAAATATTAAAAAAGAGCTAATCCGCTGTCACCATTGAAAAACTAACATTAAGCTAACATTAATTGTTAATATTTTTAACGATATGGATAACATTACTCCTTTTCTAAGGTTCATATTGATTATTCATATTTATTTAATTTATAACACATTTTTATTCATTTTTTAATCTTCAAATCTTTTTGATAATATCATTATTCTATAAGGTTTAAAAGGTATTTTAATAATATTATATTCTTTTGTTAAGGGTGACAGGTTAGAATGACACAATCTTCCAATCCATTTCATCCAATCAACTATAAAATTTTTCATCAATTCACTTTTCATTTTGGTACTTACCAAACAGGCTTTTGACAGGAAATTTTTCAGTTTCTTCTTTTTCATTCTTGTCCATTCCAACGGATTTTTCCTATCAAACGGACCCTTAAAAAAGTGTCTTCTCTTGTCAGATTGAATAAGTAATTAAGTATTTATTTGGCAAACATGTATAATCAGGAAAAAAATTTTTAAAAAAATAAAACTATTCTCATATGTTTATATAACCGTATGTGTAAGATGTAGATAAGTGATGCTTAGATATTGGCGTACATCTTGAAGAACATGGGATCTCCGGCTTCATATGAGCGCAGAGCTCTAACATCTTGTTCCATCTTTTTCATGGCCTTCTTTTGCATGTACCCCTATCCGTACATATATGTTTATTTTTATCGTTTCTCTTGGAGTTTTAATTAATTTTTAATAATTTAAAATAAAATAATTTTATTCTCTTATGTATTTTAAAATATTATCTTTATATTCTTTAATTCTCTTATGTAATTCTTATACAATATGTGTATCCAATCAAATTGTATAAGAATTACCGTCTAAACACGACCTAACAGTAGTAAATATATAAACGATTAGCTATTGATTTATTCAGTTTCGAATTTTGGATAAATAAGATATTTAGTCAGGGCCTTCTTTTGCAAAGCCCTATCAGAAAGTGCTGAAAAAAGCTAAGGAGGAAGAATCTAATAATGCTGGCTCCGGCAGTCAAAAAGAAAGCATTGTTTTTTGTTCCCAAGTCACTTTTTAATCATCCACTTAGAGCATTCACTCTCCTTTTGATTTGGAATAAGAATCAATTTGTGCTGTCAGTCTTCAATAGTGCTCACATCCACCCACTTCCACACAAGTATTTGAGTCACAGATTAATTCATTTTGAGCAAATAGCCTCTCTCTGTTCACCAAATCGCCGCAGTTTCTGCAGTTTGGATTCCTCTCACCAATTTGTGTGGTCGATCATCATCATCAGCCCCACTAGTTTCTGTTGTTCTTCTCCTACTATCTTCTTGTTTGTGTTTGGATCGTTCCTTTTGATCCTTTCTTTCTTGTTCTTCATCTTCAACGCTCTGTTTCCTCTGCTTCTCTGTTTTTTGGGTCCTTTCTTCTTCTTCTTTGTTCGAAAATCAAAAAGGTTAAAAAAGAAAAAATTGTGTGCTCTTCATTTCAGTTCTTTTTCTTTGTATCTTAAAAAAAAAAAAAAAATTGTCCTTGATCTTCTTCGACGATCTTCTTGTTTGTGTTTGGATCCTTCCGTTTGATCGTTTCTCTCTTGTGCTTCGTCTTTAACACTTTGTTTGTCCTCCTGCTCTGTTCTTCGATCTTCTCCTTTCACATTCATCTCTACTTCCATCAATCATTCTTCTTCTTCTTGCTCTTCTTCTTCTGTGTTAAAAAAAAAAAAAAAAAACCAAAGAAAATTGCGGGCTCTTCTTTTCAGTTCTCTTTTTTTATTTGTTTTTCTTAAAGAAAAATGTGTTCTACTTGAATTATATTCCTCCTTTAATTTTTCTCTCCTGTCACTATAGTTCCTGCTGTTCTTCTGCTTCTGGTTTTTTCTAACCCCAAAAAAAAAAAAAAAAAATTGCCCTGGGTACGTATCCATCAATCGTGCGTCGCTGTTTTTCTTTCTCTTGATTTAGTGAAAATGATGTGGTCTTCTTTTCAGTTCTTTTTATTTGTTTTTCTTTAAAAAAAAAAAGGGAAAAAAATTGTGTGTTCTACTTGAATTCCTGCTTTGATTTTTTCTCTCTCCAGTTACTAAAATTTCTGCTGTTCTTCTGGTTCTGGTTTTAAAAAAAAAAAAAAAATCACCGAGGGACCTATCCATCAATCGTTGTTGTTTTTCTTTTTCTTTATTTATTATTAAAAAGGAAAAAAAAAAAAAAAAGAGGTATATCCAATTCCATCAGAAGCATCGTGCGAGCGGAGAGGCGTTGAAATCTGAGGATATATTAGAGGCGAGTATCCACTTTGAAATTTGGACATGATTATATTCAATTTTCACGTGATTATTTTTATTTTAACTTTTTATGTCATGACAGCGTAGGTTATTTCCTTAATTTTTCTCAACATTTGAATCAATATGTTGTTTTTTCATTAGAGTCAAAGCAAGAAGGAGAAGAAAAAAAAGAAGAGCCCTCTCCGATCAAAGGGCTAGAAATACCTGCACAAGAGGTACGTATACAATTTCATAACAGTGATATTGTGAGCTCTCCAAGCAGTGTGCTTTGCCCAATACTGAAGATAAGAATTAAATAATTAATTTGTAAGTATTAAAAAAATTAGATAGGGTAATTATTTATGATATACTATTGAAACAATTTTTGCAATTATTTGGGATAAAATAGATAAATATAAAAAATAAAAATAAAATAAATTGAAGTTTTATATTTGAAAGATTCAATTAATTTTTATATTAGAGATCAGGGATAATAAATTAGTAATAAAATTTAGTGAACAAATTTTATTCTACGATTAAAATTATTGATGTGATTATTCTGTTGCAAAGAATCCAATATCCATCCATAATTTATCACTAGTTCCATTACAAAATATTCAGTAATGGAAATTAGTGAGATGTAAAAGTTCATTGCTAACTTCAAAAATGACCCATTCCTATTTTGTAACCAATTTATTGAAGTAACATTTACGTCACTATTCCACCTCCAATTGTCATCGCTGAAATACTTGTCATGAAATAAAAATATTCTGTTACCAACTGCGTGACTATCTATCCTTCATCCAATGGAATCCCCTCCCTCCATCTCCCACCTTCCTTCCCTCGGTCTAGTTATGGGGACAACTAAAGGAGAAGCGGAGATTTAAAAAAAAAAAAAAAGAAGCTTTTGTTGTGACCGAGGAAAATCACTGCTAAAATTCATTGACTATCCCTCTGTTTGATGTAGATTATAGAAACTTCCCTTTTATTTTTTAAAATTGTATATAATTATCCTTTGAAATTAAAAGATACATTACACAAATTTTTTTTAATATGTTCGATATGCTATTTATATCTATCTAAACAGTAGTTGACTGTTAAATTTGGTTCTTAAAATTTTTTGGACAAAAAATACCTCTCTTTTATATAAAAATTATGTAAACATTTATACTGTTGAAAAAACTAATTTCATATACATAAGAAGTAATTTTAATACACATTTTTTTTGGGCCAAAAACAAGTCAATTTTATTAATAACCAAACAAAAGTACAAACACTAATAGCCGAAGCCAGAAAAGAAAACACTCAAAAAAACTAACATACAACCTAACACACAAAGCTTAAACCAAAACAGACCTAAAGTACAACCTACTAAAAAAAAGAAACAACACGTAACAAGAAACCACAAGAGACAAAGACTATTAACCAATACCGCACCTCTCAAACCTGCCATCATTATCTGCAGAATTTCTTACCACAGACCTCCTTCCACTCGAGTTATCACAGGCCTTGAATGATTCCCAACTCATCAAGTCATTAGCTAGAACACTAGCTAGAAGGGGTGTTGGTTGATCAACCCACCCATAAGGGCACACTCCCTTTCTACAGCCAACAGCAAGACAATCAGCTGCTACATTGCTCTTTCTAGGCATAAGAGCAATATTCACACCGTTCAAATCACTCAAAGCCTTGATTACCTCTTGCATTTCCCACCTTCCTCTCCAATCAACACAATCTGCAGATTTATTATTCCAGCACCAATAAATCTCTCCACAATCAATCTCAATCACCACTTGCGACAGATTCAAATCCTTGATAATACCAAAGCCTTCAGAACAGCCAGGACTTCGGTTAAGAAAGCAGAATTAGATTTCACTACCTCCCCAAATCCCCACATAAAACCACCAGCATGATCTCTACAAACTAACCCAATAGCTGCTGCCTCCAAAGAGCAAGAACCGTCACAGTTAATTTTCAAGACACCAAAATCTGGAGGTCTCCAACCCTTCCAACCAATCTCTTTCGTAACTGGCTCATCATCATCAACCATCCAGTCATTTGCCTTCCAAAATTCCCTCACTGCTTTTTCAGCAAGCTGCACAACCTTAATAGGATCATGTTGTTTAGCTTCAAAAACCACACTATTTCTCTCCTTCCATACCAACCAAATGATCCAAGCAACATAGGCCAGTTGAAACTCATTCAACACATTATCATCGATTAAAATTTTCTCAAACCAAAGTCCAAAACTCTGAAATCTATTACAATCTATTTTCCAGGATAAAGCAGAAGCAAACCACACACCTTGAAACCGTGAACACAAGAAAAGAGTATGTTCAATCGTTTCTACCTCTTGATTACAAATAGGACAGATCACAGAGGTGTTACAACACCTTCTTCTCACCAAAGCCTCCTTCACAGGTACAGCTCCTACCAAGCATCTCCAAGCAAAATGCGTGATTTTAGGCAAGATTTTCAATTTCCACACCTTGCCCCAGATACTATTTGGAAGAGAGAAAGTCCCACCAGCCCTACCATCCACTACAAACTTCTTCATTTTAGTCTCCATATATCCTTTTTTCACAGTGTAAAAACCATTCCTTACTTTATCCCAAACAGGATCATCTTGTTTGTGGAGACAAAAAGAATTAATACCACTGATCTTCTGCAAGGTTTCATCAGGAACCAATCCTTGCAGTTTCCTCCACTCCCACCTTCCGTTTGCAATCAATTCAGAAACAGTCCAATTTTTAACATTAGCAGAAATAGGAACCATTTCTGGCAAGCACTCTTCCATCTTAGGAATCCTTCTGTCGAGCCAAACATTAACTCTTCTTCCATTGCCTATCTTCCAAAAGACATTCTCCTTCAAAATACTTCTTCCATCCAAGATACTAGACCATAACCAGGAAGCTTTATGGCCTTCTTAGCATCCATAAAAGATGTCTTAGGAAAATACACTCCCTTCAGAACCCTTACCCATAACTCATCTTCGTTATTCAATAACCTCCAAGCTGTCTTTGCTAACAAAACATCATTCATCACCTTAAAGTCCCTAAATCCCATTCCCCTATCTCTTTTAGACTTGGTCAATAAGCTCCAAGCCTTCCAATGGATTTTGCCGCCCTCTTTGCCACCATTCCACCAAAAATTTGCAATTAATCTATCTAGTTCCTTACACATCTGCTTGGGGAATTTAAAACAATAAATGGGATATAAAGGAACAGCACTTGTCACAGCTTTGATCAATACTTCTCTTCCTGCCTGACTCAACAGCTTACTACTCCATCCTTTAATCTTTCTTCCAACCCTGTCTTTGATATAAGCAAGAGCCTGGTTTTTGGTTTTTCCCCACAAACTGGGAATTCCCAAATATTTCCCTGGCTCTTCAGCATCATTGATTCCCAAGATGTCACAAACTCTCCTCCTCACATCACCAGGTGAGTTTTTTGAGAACACCAAGCCAGACTTAGATAAATTGGCTTGCTGTCCAGAGACAGTACAATAGTCTTTCAGAATCTGAGCTAGTCTTTTACAATAACATTCCTTACCATTCATAAAGAAGAGCACATCATCAGCAAAAAAGTTGTGAGTCAGCACAGGGCAACTATTAGACAGCTTAATACCTCTCAGCAGACCCATCTCAACATTTTTCCTGATCATGCAAGATAAAACTTCCACAACCAAAATAAAAATATAAGGGGAAAGAGGGTCACCCTGTCTCAAACCCCTTCCAGGACTAATCACCGCTGCTCTCCTACCAGAAAGACAAAGATTCAGCTTAACAGAAGAGATACACTTTATCACTAGACTGATCCATGAACTACAGAATCCAAGCTTAACAAGGGTGGCTTCCATAAAGTCCCATTCCACTCTATCATAAGCCTTACTCATATCCATTTTTGAAGCAAAATCACACCTAATACCCTTCCTTCTTCTTCTCAAATAATGAAAAATTTCATGAGCAACAATCACATTGTCATGGATGAGCCTTCCTGGAACAAGAGCTCCTTGATTACTAGAGATGCAGCGATTTAACCAGGGTTTCAATCTATTTGCAAGCACTTTAGAAATCACCTTGTAAATGAAATTGCAAAGACCAATAGGTCTAAATTGACTCACTTCTTCAGGCCTATCAACCTTAGGAATAAGAGTCATATTAGTTTCATTAATGGTAGCAATATCACCCTTACCTTCAAAGAAGTCTTTCACCATTACCCAGACCTCTTCCTTTACAATCTCCCAAGAGCACTAGTAAAATTTACTACTAAATCCATCAGGCCCTGGAGCCTTATTACCCCCCAACTGAAAAACAGCTTCATAAACTTCTCTTCTAGCTACAGTTGCCATTAAACTCACATTTACCTCATCATCAATACACTTATCTACAAAACACAACACATCATCAAAATATCGTGGTTCAAAAGGTCTGAACAAGTCCATATAAAACTTGGTGAAGCATTATGCAATCCATGCTTCTTCTTCCAACCACACTCCATTAGAACTCTTGATTTTCATAATAGCATCTCCTCTGAATGGTAGATAAGTGGAAAAATCTTGAGTTAGAGTCCCCAACCTGTAACCAAGAGACTCTAGATTTGTGCCACCAGTACATTTCTTCATTCTTCCAGCTCCTCTCCAAACTATCTTCAATCTCATCCACCATCTTCCTCACCTCATTAGTAAAATTCCCTTTATAGCATTTCGAGAGCTTATTCATCAAATTCTCAATAAGCCTCTTATTATTCGGGAAAACCACTTTACTCCAAGCAATTAATTCCCTTTTACAATGATTCAATCTTCTAACTACTTCCTTCACACTATCATCTAGTCTACCCCAACTATTTAACCACCCTTTTCTAACAATCTCATTGTAATCAGAGTGTATAGTCCACAATTGTTCAAATTTGAAAGACCAAGGGGTCTTTATAGCCTCATAACAGAGATTAATCAGTAGAGGACAATGATCTGAGCCCACTGGTTCCAAATGAAAAACCTGGGCCCGTGGGAAAGCTTCTCTAAAGTCAACATTGCATAAAGCCCTATCAATCCTTTCTTTAATATGATCTTCCTCCATCCGCTTATTACACTATGTAAATTGAAGACCCTTAAAGCCCATATCCATAAGTTCACATTCTGCAACAGCATTTTGGAAATTAAGGATCTTTTGAACTGCCTTAGGTCTCCCACCTTTGTTTTCTCTCTGAGACATAACATCATTAAAGTCTCCTGTACAAAGCCAAGTACCATCAACTTCACTTGCAAACTCTTTAATCTTATTCCAGACCATTCTTCTTCCTTTCTCCATAGTTGACCCATACACGAATGTCACAAAATCTGGAACCTCAACGTTATTTGAATTAACCTTCACATGCACCAGGTTACTTGAAACAAATAGTAATTCCAGATTTATGTAATTAGACCACCAAACACAAATACCTCCACTCTTTCCAACAGGCTCCACTTCAAAACCACAATCAAACCCACAACTTCTTCTTACCCTGTCCACCTTTTGCTTTTTTTGTTTGGTTTCTAAAATGCAAACTAAATGAGGTTTTTGGTTTTTAACCATATTTTTCAAGCTTTGAATTTTCAAGGGAACCCCTAACCCTGGACAATTCCATACTAGCATCCTCATGGCTCCTTGGTAACTATTTTTGGCCAGTCACCAAAACCACTAGCAGCAATAACATCCTCCTTGATAGTAACTCCAGACCCATTCCTCAAACAACTCTTTCCAACAATCTTCACTGACCTACTCTTCTTCTTCAACATTCTAATATTCCTTCTTTCCACCTTACCATGGGAGAACTAAATAACTTGTTCAGGAACCACTGCTAATTCATCAAAGCACAGCTTTCTCCTTTTCATCATAGAAGACTCCTCCAACTCGCCACCCTCCCTTTTTAATTTCACCTTACCCAAGCTACTCACCACTTCAGACATAGGTGAAATGCTGCCAAATAAAACCAGCGCCTTGGAGAGATCCTCAACATTTTTCTTAGGAGAATTAACTACTAATTTCTTCTCCCTATCCACAGTCAAGTCCACAGTAGCCTGCAAACTACTCCCTCCACTCAATTCAGCCTCATCACTATCCAGCTTCGTCTTTCTAGCTTCAGTAATCACCTCCTTAAAAGAAGAAAGTGATTTAACTTCACCTTCCTTTCTTGCACATTCCTTCCTCCCCCCATTAGACACCTGGACTTGCTTAACAACAATGCCTTTTGTTTCCTCATCCTTCTTCACACTATCTGACTTGTTATCTAAAACCACTTTTCCAGCATTCATTATAAGTGGCTTAGCATTCTTCCTATTCCTCCACCACTCTTTCAACTCCTCCCAGCCATTCTTACATACTCTGACTGCATTCTCATTCCATCGAACAGCTGGCGTACTAAGCCAACTCCCATATTCAGCTTCCACTCTTCCGTCTCCGTCATTTCTGAATTGACAACTTCTTAAATCATGACCGATACGGCCACAAGCAAAGCAAAAGATATGTAGTCTCTCATAACGAACTTTAATCCAAGTAGGTTTTTTATTTTTTTCTTGGTGCTGACATACCAGACACTAAAGGCTTCCTTAGATCCACCAAAACTCTCACTCAGAGAAAGCTTCTCGAGAGTAAACCTTCAGATCTTGGATCCTCAACCAACAAAGCATCACCAACCAATCCTCCGAGTTTCTTAGCATTCTCAATGTCCATTGCAGCGAATGGAATATCATGAAACTGAATCCAAAAGGTACAGTAATTAAAATCAACTTCACTAAAAACCATCTCCTCATCCCAACATTGAACATTCAACAGTAATCCATTGATCGACCAGGGACGACCACGCAAAATCCTCAAATAATCTTCTCTTCGTCTGAATTCAAATATAAACGCCTTTCGCTCCACCTCTACAATCTCTAGATCTTCATGCTTCAGCAGATTCCAACCTTTCCGAATCATCTGTATCATAGTCGTAGAGTTCATGTTCTTATCAGAGATTATCTTCCTTGCTAGTGTACCTCCAGCTAGGCCTCTATCCTCCTTACTACGATAGATCAAATTCACCTCCAGGTCCTCCATTCCTCTGCTGGAGCACTCTTCATCACTCTTCCTGTTACTCCCCATCCTTCTATCTAGGGGTGTTCACGGGACGGATCGGGACCGGGACAGGCCCGTCCCGGTTCCGTCCCGATGAACAGTAACGGGACAGATTTTCTGTCCGGTGTCCCGGCCCGTCCCGGGGTTGTCCCGGTCCCGGTCGGGACGAGACGGATCCGGGACGGGACCGGGACGTCCCGAAATAATTTTATTTTTAATTTTTTTAATTTTTTTTAAAAAAATCTAATTTTTTTAATTATATTTTTTTGAGCTTAAATCTTATAAAAACATCTTTTTTATTTGTTTGGGCACTCTTAAACAAAAGTTCAAAATATTACATATAATAGTTATTAAAAACTCTAAACAAAAGCTTTTAACACAATAAAAACTTGCTAAAAATTCTAATCATCAATAATCTCAAATCATTAACAAATATAAAAACTCTAAATAAATATATCTATAGTTCCATACAATAGTCTCAAATCTTAAAAAAATATGAAAAAAATGATATTATATAAAAAATTTAAAAAATTAATTTTTTTTTTTTAAAAAGGAACCGGGACGGGACCGGGACGGGACGACCCCGTCCCGTGTCCCGTCCCGTCCCGGTCCCTTTTTTGTCCCGTCCCGGTTTGTCCCGTCCCGAAAAATTTCGGGACGGATCCGTCCCGTCCCAATAAGACCGGGACCGGAACGGGCCGACCGGGACGGGCCGGCCTTGAACACCCCTACTTCTATCCTTCTAACTACGATAAACCTCACACTTCCCCTGTTGCAAAGAGCAAATAGGGAAACACTCTGTACTTCTCCCGTCGCAGTAGGTGACGAGACACACAATTCTCCCTCCTCACCGCCACAGTGAACGACGGCGCAAGAAGCTACAGAAATTCGACGATAATCGTCGTAGCTAGGGGTGCTCACGGGACGGGACGGGACCGGGACAGGCCCGTCCCGGTCCCGTCCCGGTGAACAGGGACGGGACAGGGTTTTAGTCCCGTGTCCCGTCCCGTCCCGGTTTTGTCCCGGTCCCGTCGGGACCGGGACGGAACCGGGACGGGACGGGACGTCCCGTTCCCCTCCCCCTTTTTTTAAAAAAAAAACTATAATTTTTTATATGAAATTTTTTTATATTATAATGCTTATTTTTTGTTAGGCTTCTAAAGATAAAAACATTATAAAAAATATTATGTAGAAAACTCAATTATATAGTATAAAAAAGGTGTAAAAACAATACTGTAAAAAAAATACGATAAAAAAACACTATATAATGGCTTTATGAATTATTTTATTGAGGAAGGAGATATTGTTGAGATAATATTACAACTTAAGAGTTAAAAATCACTATAAAAATAATTATTATTATTAATAAGTAAATTGAATAATCTAATAATAATTATTAATAAATAATTTTTTAAAAAAAAAATATCCCGGGACGGGACGGGACGGGACAACCCCGTCCCGCGTCCCGTCCCGTCCCGGTCACTGTCCCGTCCCGTCCCGTACTTGTCCCGTCTCGAAATTTTTTTTGTCCCGTCCCGTCCCGTCCCAAACTCACCGGAACCGGGACGGGACGACCGGGACGGGACAAATTGAACACCCCTAGTCGTAGCAAACTCTCACATGGAGAGAGAAAAGCTCTCACTCGGGAGAGAAAAATCTGTTCCACCAACAGCGATATTGAGAGTAATACAAATTTTTTCAAACTCTCAAATATGATATAAAATTAATTAAATTTGATTATATTATAAACTTTTTTAATTTTAATTTTTCATCAGACTTATTGAAACTTATTTATTTATCTTTCTTTTAAATGGTTAAAAATATGTCAAACACGTATTTCTTCATCATATAATACAAACGGTACAAGTTCAAGAAATTACATAAATTATTTAAATTTGTAATTGAAAATTTTTAAGTAAATTTTTTGTTCTAACATTTATAAATATATTTAGTCAATTATATATTTATTTAAAAACTAAAAATAACATTCAGGAAAATCAAATTATTTACAATGACATTCTATAGTTGCCGCTTATGATAAGCAGATTTATGGTTTTTGGGTTCTCCAATTTTTGATTTGTGGTCTTTAACAATAAGCTCTGATATTTGCTAACTTCATAAATTTATTAACTAAGGTAGATGTTTATATTACTAGATATTTCCATTTAAACATACTATAGACTCACAAAAGAAAACACACACACACATATATATTATATATGTATATATATTCTTCACCAAGCTGGTTTCTCCTTAGTATCTTTCGATAGTGTCCTTTATGGGTGGGAATAGGTTTTTCAGTCGTGTTGGACAAAAGTAAAGCAAAGAAAACGAGCTAAACCCGTCAGGCTGGTTTGTTTAAGCCTTTTTAAATCGAGGACTGTACTTATATTTTAGAGTCTTGAAAAGGAAGTCGGACTTAAAAGGGCCAGCTCTGTAAGGCTGAAAAATAAACAGGGTGGCCCTGTAGTGTTGCAAGTCGACCTGTTTAAGCCCACCAACAATTTTTTTTAAATTTTTATATTTTCTTAACTTAAAAAGAAAACCCTAATATTTTACACATAACACACTTTTAGTTTTACTTACCCCAGCAGCTCACACATACAACATTAAAAAAAAAAAAAAAGAATCATTATAGTTGTTGGAAAAATAACAAAAAACATGAAAATTACAAAATTTGAAACTAGTTATTTTTTTAAAAAAAAATTCTTATTTATAAGTTGTTAAAACCTGTTAAAATATTGTACATGTAATTTTTACGGTCTTTATTTGTTATTATCCCATATTTTTTATGCTTAAAATAGAATTAATTAAAGAATCTTTTGAATTAAAATAAAGATCTATATCATTTTTATAGTTAGAAACAAATTTAGAACTAGAGATGATAGACTCTTTTTTTTTTTGTCGGTAGGACAAATGATTATTCTTTATGTATATTATGTTTGTTAATTAAACTTTTTGTTAATTATTTATAATTAAACCAGATCATCCGTAATGTAATTATTTAAATTTAGTGCTTATTTAGTTGTTTATGTTTGTCCTCTATTTAATTTGTTTATTCAATAAACTCTATTACACTGTGATAAATGTTTAAACATAATGATGTATGTTTGTGACTTAATTTTATTTGTATTTATATTTTTTATTAGTAATTCTATTGTTTTATTTTTATCATTTTGATAAAATATGCAAAAAAAATTATTTTTATCATTAGTTGTTTATGTTTGTCCTCTATTTAATTTGTTTATTCAATAAACTCTATTACACTGTGATAAATGTTTAAACATAATGATGTTTATGTTTGTGACTTAATTTTATTTGTATTTATATTTTTTATTAGTAATTCTATTGTTTTATTTTTATCATTTTGATAAAATATGCAAAAAAAATTATATTTTAGTTAAACGAGTCAAAGAGCCGACTCGAGCCTATCATCTCACGGGTCGGGTTTTTAAAAAATACTCCCTCCGTTCCTTATTATAAGAGACATTTGATGCTTGGCATGTTCCTATATATAAGAGACACTTACAAGTTGTCTTTACTTTTTTGTGTTGATTTACTATTTTACCCATATTTATTATCTCCAACTCACATTCTCTTTCCTTCTCACTTCTCTTTCTTTTAATAATTTAATTGTTCTCTCTCATGCTCTCTCTCCTTATTAATGAGGGCATTTTTGGAAAAAAATTATACTTTTTACACATTAATTGTTCTTAACTAATTTTAACTGTTTTTTTGATCAACGTACTTCGGTTATTTGTCTCTTATAATAAGAAACGGAGGGAGTAGTTTATTTCTGGGATTTGAGCCAGCCCTGTAGTAGGAAAAAAAAAAAGGTGATTCAATGATCATCTAGTAAGTAATAGAGTTGCTTCCCAGGACATTGATATAGAGGATCCGAATGGCTTTTTCAAGTACGGAATAAATAGTGCCATGTCTGAAGAGGTTTCTACATAGTCTACTCGATCATCCTTGGTTTTTCTTCTTCCATTTACACATTACTGTTGATGGCCTTCCGTTTTTTCATTGTCTCATAATAAGGTTGGTTCATTGTCCATGCTCCTGGTTAGGAAATGTGGTTATCATGGTTCCTAGTCCTTGCTTCTGGTAGGTTCCAAAGGCTTCTCTGAAGGTGCGAGCTCCGCACTTCCTCCTCTTTTTTTTTTTTTTTTTTTTTGTGAGGCTACTTTACCACCTCAACTAACACCTTATTAGTCGGTTTGGTGTTTTTTATTTTCCAGTGTCTTGCAATAGTTGTGAAATGCTATGTCGCTTAACACCCGACATGCACCCTCGGTCAGATGTTTCACTTGAATTAACTTCCTAATTAAAAGGACAACGAGGTACAAGTTAAGCTACCCTCGCTATCCTTACACACCGAAATGGGCCCACAGCCAGATATCTCATGGCAAAATGGTCCCCAAATTTCAGTTCCATCAATTGTGGGATGGAACCCAGTTCGATTATTTCTTATGGAATTGAGTTTCATGAGGAAGTGAGATCCACACTACTGGACACACCAAAATATGAATTCCACCTCCCTCCCTTACACACTACTGGAAGTGAGATCCAATCCTTACACACACGTTTTTTATATATTTAAAACTTTTTTCATTCATTCAATTGTAAGTTTAACTTGTAAATTTTTATTTTGACTAAAATACCCCTTTAATATAAGAATTATCTAAATATTCAGATTTGTAAAAAATAATTTTCTTACATATTTTTTCAAATATATTAATACGTTATAAAATTTCTTAATTTTCATTATCTATTAAAACTTCTTTATTTAAATTTTTTAAATGACTAAAAAATATTTCACTAGCTAAATAATATTTATTAAACTTTTCTTCCTTTTTTTTGTATCATCGTTTTGTGTTTTAATTAATAAAGTTCTCCTTTTTTTTTAAAGTAGACAAAGTCTCCTTTATTATACAAACATATATCTTCTTATATTTATTTTTATATTTTTAATTTTCCTCATCTTTTTGTTTCAAATCTATATTGACTTCAGATTTTGCCCAAATTTTCTCTTCAGTTTCGCTTCTACCCTTAACCCCCCCCCCCGGCCGGCGCGCACACACACACACACACAATATTTTCACTCCTTCCGTGTCATATACTTCACTTTTGGGTTGTTAATTGATTGATGATTCGATGAAGTTTTTTTTTTAATCAACGTACCAATATTAAGATTACTTTCTCCGAACTTTTTTAATAAGCTATGGTTTTTTTTTGGTAAATTATATTTTGGAGATGTTTGAAACATGTGCGTTTAACGCATTTTTTTATTCTTACTTTTTGATTAATTATATGTCTTTTCATATCTTTTTCCTACTCATTCTCTCATTTCTTTTCCACTCACCCTCTCTTTAAATAAAGGGTATATTTAAAAAATAAGTATGTATTTATTGATTTTAACTAATTGGTGTTCTTTTTCATGTTTGTTCAGTCGAGTTTGCAGTTGTGTGTGTGTGTGTGTTTTTTTTTTTTTTTTTGGGTACGGTCTTTATTTCTCTACGTCCTGTGGATATTGCTCTTTCATGGGTATCTTATCAGATACTTGCTCAAGCACTAGATTTGCCCTATGCTTATTGGCACGTCTCTACTTTAATTTACCTTTCATGCCAAAACCTTGTTCTCTGGTACCCCACGGGGTACCCATGCCCAAGCTTCGACGTGTAGTGGCATAATTCGTTGGCTTCTGCTTTTCACAATAGTAAGTGCAAAGGATGCTTATGGTTATTTGGACTCTTTGGGTGTCACAAATGGTAGTGTTTTAGCTAGTGTGACATGCAGCTCGTACTTTGGTTCGAGATTTCCTTGCTGATTTTGCATTATGAGGTCAATGTTACAGGATGTATTGTTGCTTTTTTTTTTTATTTTTTTGTATTTTTTGCTGTTTGTTTTTTGTCTTGCTGGTTGTTGATTTGTCTGTCCCCCCCCCCCCACAAAAAATATTTCAAATGTTTTTGGGTTGATCTTTTCCTTTGGTTTGTTTGGGCTCTGCTCAAACTGACCAAATATAGTAAATAACTGGCCTTTTTTAATGTAATCATTTTACTTATGTTGAATAATTATTTACTTATTTATGGCTTATAAAAAGGATGGGAGGGAATAAATTGTTGAAAGAGTGAGTTCCTTATATTCGTAAATCATACCTTTTATTTGTGAGGCGCTTGAGCTCATAAAATTCTGTGTAGAATGGATTGTGAGGTTAACTTCCTCAACGTTGCGAAATTTTGTGCACAATATAAATAGTGCGATTTTGATTGCTATGATTTGTTTTTTATGCCAGTGAAATCTCAATATAAATAGTGAGATTTTGATTGCTATGACTTTTTTTTGTGCCGGTGAAATCTTGGATTATAGTTGGTATCACGATATGGAATTTTTGGAAAAATAAGTTGCTAATTCTCAAAGATCAACTTTAAAATTATTTATAACGCTTTCTGGGAAACAAACTAGATAATTTTAATAGTTATTTTCTCTTTTATTTCCTTAAAATTTCACTCTAAAATAGGTATTTTTGACAAATATATATATATATCTTTTTTGAAGTATTTTCACCTGAAATAATTTCTCTAAACCTCAAAAGAACCTCTTTACTATTTTTCAGATTTTTTCTTGATTTTTCTCAAATTTCTAAGTATTTTTTATAATTATACTTTGTACTCGATATGTAATTTTATTTATAAATTTACGCCTATACTTCTCATATTTTTAAATTTTGGCTGAACTTAGCTTATTATCAATATTTAAGTTTTAGGATTTTCGAAGTCTATAAAGTAGAACCAGATACAACCATTTTTACTAGCTCCATCGGCCAAAAATATAAAGACTGAAGTGAAAACGAATGGTATTATGGTGCCACGTTGTTATTAATATGCCCACCTATATGATGTGCGAAGACTAATGCGACTATATATGAGTTTTGATATTATGCTGACCTAATAAATTAACCAAGTTAAGTAATATTTATACATATTTCTATTTAAACCAACTAAAGTCACAAAAGAAACATATATTTTTACATATTTTTTATTTTCCTCTCCTTTTTGTTTCAAATTTATATTAATGGCAGATTTTATCCTAATTTTCTTTTTAATTTCGCACCTACCCGTTACCCAATTCTTTTTTAATTAAATTTCCAGTTATTCCTTGTCATATTCTTCCTCTTTTGTTTTTCCATATTAATGATAAAATAATGTTTTTTCCCTTGTCATATTATTTTTGCAATTGTAATCCCATTATGTATCACAGATGGCCGGTGACGCTGCCAGCAGTGCTGCTGCAAAAAAATGTGCCGATATATTGGTAGATAAAGTAACAAAGGAACTTCAATATTTGTGTTGTTACGAGAGATATACAGCTGACTTTGAACGGAAAAAAAAAGATTTGTCAGCTGCAGTGGAGAGTGTGGACGTGAAGATAAGTGAAGCCAAAAGAAGAAATGAGACTCAAATTGATCCTATAGTTAACCGCTGGGTTGAAAAAGCCAACGACCTTATAAAACCGGTAACAAGACCAAAGAAATGGTTTGGTTTCTGTAATGATTGGTTTTCTCAGTGTCTACTCGCGAAGGAATTAGAGAGCATGACTAAAGAGATGGCAGAAATGATGGAGAAAGCTGAGAACTTTTCACAAGTTGCACATGTTGCTGAACGTCCCGGCATGGAATTCTATTCACAAGAGTTTATGCATTTCAAGAGTAGAAACTCAGTTCTTGAACAACTCAGGGAGGAGCTGAAAGATGACAATAATTATAGGATTGGATTGCAAGCAATGGGAGGATCGGGGAAAACCACAATGGCAAAAGCAGTTGGGAAGGAATTTGAAAATTCAAAGGCATTTGATAAAGTTATCTTTATTGAAGTGCCCAACCCTGTTGATGAAAAAAAGATTCGAGATGAAATTGCAAAGAAATTGGAATTGAAGTTAGAGGATGACAAGGATTTAACAGAACAAATATGGATCCAAATTGCGGATGCTGGAAATGTACTCATAATACTTGATGATGTCTGGGAAGAGCTCAAACTTGAGAACATAGGGATTCACCATGGCATCCGTACCCAAGGTCGTTGCTGTGTGTTGCTAACCACATGTTATGAGACAGTTTGTAGAAGAATGAGCTGCCAAAAGATCATTAAACTAGGGGTCTTACCTGAGGAAGACGCAGTGAATCTTTTCCTACGTCATGCCACTGAAAGTGGGAAGGATTGTCCTAATAAATTGAAGTTGTTGGCATCAAAAGTTGTGAATGAATGTGGAAACTTACCAGTCCTAGTTGTGGCAGTAGCAAGAACCTTTAGAAACTGGGATCCAAATGAATGGGAGGATGCCTTTGCAGCAATAGAAAAAGATCCATCCTTAAGGCATGGGAATAATGATGAAGAAGCAAAAAAGTTTTATAATTCTTTGAAAATAAGCTTCAAGTGTCTAGATACAAGAGCTCAGGACCTCATCCTGATATGTTCTTTATTCCCAAGAGCTTATGAAATACCTATAGAGCTTTTAAGCAGAATTGCTATAGGTTTAGGGCTTTGTGAAAATGTTGGCAGCTACTACAAAGCAAGAAGTGAAGTGCTTTCAATCAAAACCACACTCGTACGTTCTGCTTTATTGTTGACTACAAAAGAAGGATGTGTAAAGATGCATGATGTGATTCGTGATGTGGTCCAACATATAGGAGATGAAAAGATTCAAGTAATCATGGATTCTAAAAGTCAATTGAAGCAGAATATAAAATATTCATCCTGGATGATAGATGAATTTTTCAACTCTTTTAAGAGCAACAATCTTGAGGTTCTTTTAGCATGGGTAAATGCAAATCGTTCTTTGGAAGTTCCTGACACATTCTTTGGAGGCATGGAGGGACTTAGAGTTTTGCTTTTGTATTCTGAGGTTGAGTTTGGGAGAAAATTGCACTTATCACTACCAAAATCAGTTCATTCACTTGAAAATATCCAAACGCTATCCCTGGCAAATTGGGAGTTGGGTGATATATCTATTTTGCAAAACCTGAGAAAACTCCAAACTCTTGAGTTGACAAATTGTTCAATTAGTGAATTGCCAAATGAAGTTAGCCAACTGGAGAAACTGAGGTTGCTAGGCTTGGTAGATTGTTCAATTGAAAAGAATAACCCATTTGAAGTGATTGGGAGATGCGTGAAACTTGAAGCATTGTATTATGTTTCAAATCATGACACTCTTAAAATCAATCCAAAGCCTTCTAAAATTATAGATCTCCATCAAGAATTTGGAATATATCATGTAGAAGGCAACTACTCCTTCCAGCGTTCTTTTCAATTGGATGCTTCAATAAAAAGATATTTTAGTTCAACCAATTTAGAAGGGATCTTGTCTGAAAGCACAGTCAAATCCCTAGTAGCAAGAGCAGAGATTCTCGAGTTAACAGAATGTAATGAAGCAAGATGGGCAAATCTCATTCCTGACATGGTTCATCCTAAAGAAAATGATGGCATGAATGACTTGCTTAGGCTTTCTTTGGAATCTTGGCCTGCAATACAATGCCTCATCAATACAAGTGGCATTCAATCTAATGCAACCATCTTCTCCAACTTAGTTGAGCTGCGACTTTATAATATGCATGTGAGGGAATTATGTCATGGCCATCCTCCTAATGACTTTCTCAAACAACTAGAGAAGCTAGACTTAAATGATTGTGGTGAACTAGATGGCACATTATTTAAGGGCAAGCTAGAGCTAAGTAATCTAAAGTCTATAGCATTAAATGCTTGTTCAATGACATGTCTTTTCCACTTACCTGCAGCTCAGAGTCTAAGGCAATTGGAAAATTTACACATAGAGGGATGCTCAAAGTTGAAATGCCTAATAAGTGATGATGTGAAATCAACAGAGCAGAAAGTGGATGATCATCAAGATCCTAATCAAAAGATCCACCACTTGATGTTCCCGAAATTGAAGTTTTTCAAGGTTGAAGAATGTCATGCATTGAAATTTATATTTCCAATTTTTCCTTGCAAAGAGCTAGAAAGTGTGATAATCGATGGTTGCAATGAGCTAAGATACATATTTGGACAATGCTTAGAGGAGGGAGGAATGTATCAAATGGAAAAAGAAATCATACTCCCCTTACTACAACAAATAGATATTGCAAACGTACCAAAATTCGTCAACATCTATCCAGAACATTATCTCCCACAGCCCTCCCAGGTGCAGAAATCATGGGACCCTCTATGCTGTTTATCTTCAAAAGCAAGTGCCTTAAGTATAGATGAACCATCTTTTTTCAAGGGCAATCAACTGGGCCATACTCAGGTACTTATCTCTCACGCTTTCTTTGTTGCTGTGATTGCAGTTTGATAATGTAATAACATATTGACAAATACTTTGATGTAACATAGGCATTAAAGGAGAAACATCTTGGTAGAGCTGATGGACTTTTTACACCTCCATTATATCCATACAAGAATTTGAGAAAGATGAGTATAGAGGGATTTTCTGAATTGAAGTCACTTCTTACCCTATCCATTGCCTCATCATTGAAACTGTTGGAAGAATTGACAATAAGCGAATGTGGTGAAATGGAACATATAGTAACAGATGAGGGGCATGTTTACAATCATATGAATGATTGTTTTATCTTTTCCAACTTAAAGGAGCTTGAAGTCTTCAATGCTGAAAAGTTGAAATATGTGTTTGGAAAATGTCATTCCAATCAGTGGCATAATGTTCATATCGAACTTAACCTCCTGAATCTCAAAAGCCTATGCCTTCATGATGTGCCAAATATGGTTAGTATCTGTACCAAAAACTATTCTGTGAAAGCATTATCTCTACAAGATATACATTTGGAAAACTGCCCACAACTTCTCATAAATACTATTATGGACTTATCCGTTGAAGCGCCAAAAAGAGAAGATCTCTCAAAGAAAAAGGTAAACCTTTTTCCAACTAGTCCTTTTAGTTTGTGAATATCGAAGTAGATCAAATTTATTATTTTGTGAAGATTTGTACTTGTCGTAGCTTTTTGTGTGTTTAAACACATGTATTATTGATTTTGATGACTTGTCTCAAAATATGTTCCGTGTTACTTGCAAGTTACTTTTTCACATTTGACTTCCATTCTAAAACATTTATATTGTTAAATTTTTCCTCATTACTTCACTTTTTCATTTGCTGAAGTATTTAGAACGTTGAAAATTTATATTCTTAATGATAATTTTTAATATGGAAGTTCACGTTATGTGGATTAAAATATATAATTGTGGCCTGTAGCTAATTGTTTAAAGAGAAAATAATAGAAAAGTAAAAGAGGGAAATTTCAGTTTATATCTAAAGCTAGCATTTTCTTTATTTACAATATGAGAAAAATTAGGGGAGAAATTATATATATATATATTGATAGAAAAGCTAAATAAAATTTCTCTTGAATTCTTCATTGGTTTCGCAAGTTCTGTATAGAACCAAACAAAGTACTTTCTATTTTTTAAAATATAATAGCATATTAAAATGTTCTTTATTAGTTTACTGAAGAATTCATATGTGTTTACCAGGAAAAAGGGAAAAAAGAATTCACATGTTTGTATTTAACCAAGGCATCCAAAGAAAAGCACGTGCCAAGTACAGCTCAAGGATATTTTCCACTACCATTATATCAATCCAATTTGAGAAAGATTGAGATAACTGGATTTTCCAAGTTAACGTCACTCTTTACCATATCCATTGCCACGTCACTGAAGTTCTTGGAAACATTGTATGTCAAGCGGTGTGACATGCTGGAACATATAATAACAGACGAGGGGGCTAATAGTCAGGGTCATGGGAATGTGCACTCTATCTTTCCCAACTTACAGAAAATTCATGTTTGGAGCTGTAACAATTTGGAATATGTATTCCCAGCTTTTTATTCAAAAGACTTTAGGGAGTTGGGATCTGTGAGCATCCAGAAGGCAGAAAAGATGAAATATGTATTTCGAGAATGTCATCTTGATCAAAATCATAATGTTCAGAGTAAACTTAATCTCCCAGCCTTGAAGACAATATACCTTGTAGATTTACCAAATATGGTTAGTATTTGCACAGAAAACTATTACGTGGAGGTATTACATCTAGAATATATTAGAATTGAAGGATGTCTACGGCTTGTCCAAACTTTTATAGATTTCTTGGTTGGTGGACACAAAAGACAGGAAGATCTCTCAAGGAGAAAGGTAAACCTCTTTCTAGTTTGCTTCTCTAGTTTATAATCAATCAACTGAAGACACTTTTTAATACTAACATATCTCAATTGTATGCTTACAGGCATTATCTTTCAAGGAGAAAGGTAAGGCACTTTCGAACTTGCAAGAGTTACCTGATTTAAGCGACATCTACGTGGGATCTAAAAACTCTCTGAGCTTTAGGAACCTCTCTGGGCTAACATTGGTAGGATGCAAACAATTGAAGTTCATACTATCCGCATCTACCACAAGAAGCATACCAGAATTGAGAAGTCTATTTATATCAGACTGTGAAGAGCTGGTGAGCATGATTGAGGATAATGAAGAGAATCAGAAACATCCTTTAGATTTGCATCAACCATGTTTCCCAAAGCTATGCAGAATTCGAGTGAAGCACTGTAAGAAGTTGAAATGCCTATTCTCTATCTCCACATGTGCTAAACTTCCATGTCTCTTGCTGTTGGAGATAGAAGATGCTCCTGAGCTCGCGCAGGTATTTGAATGGAAGCAGAGTGCGCCACAAGATTTGGTCATCAAAGATGTGCTTCCAAATTTACTTGCACTAAGACTGGTAGAACTACCAAGTCTTCACACTATCTATCATGGAATTGATTTCCAAACTGTGAAAATCCGTGTTGTGCAAGATTGTAACAATATCCCTTCAACTAATGTCAGCTCCTCTGAGAGTAAGTATTCACATATACGTAGTTAATCGAAATCACTAACTGCTATATATGATTTCTTCTCATATTAATAATAATGAAATTGTGGTTTTTCTTGTGCAGTATCTAATTATGTCAATTATTCGTTGACACAAGAAAAGAGGAACTTTGAGGATGACCATGACTTCGTCTACACATGCCATATTATTTACAGCTGGGCTGACGAGGTTAGTGCTAGACTTGTACTAATTTTGGTAGAAATTCAATAGTTCTCCTACTTTTCTTATTTTGTGGGCTAATATTACTATTTTTCTTGATGATTTCAACTCGTTAATTTCTTCATTATCATTGCTTAGAGAAAAAGAGAAGAATCAAAGGAAGCTCGTGAGAGAGACAATACAATATCAGAACAGAGCAGTAGTACTCAAGACCAAGCTGATGTACATACATTATACTTTTCTATAATCAACAAACTTTAAAGAAGCCAACAAATTTATTTCTCACTTGTCTTCTCCCTCCGTCCCCAATTTTAGCAGGATGTTAATACATCTAGAACGGTTTTTTCTTCTTTGCGGGCCAGGATATACAAATTTTGTTGGACACTTCAACTCAATTGATCTCTCTTTATATTTTTTTGTGATTGGTTGTTTAGAGTGAAGAGCCATCCAATGAGGCTGTTGAAAAAGACTCCGCAATACAAAAGCAGAGAACTAGTTCACCAAATTTGATAGAGGTACAAACTTATGGTTCATAGTAATTACTCTGCCTCATTGACGAAAAAAGGTTTCTCTATCAATAGATGTATGATTTGCTTCCTTATGAACTGAACTTTTCTAGCAACTCAATTTTCAACACAAATTATTTTCGAATACAGCAGCAACAACTTCGTCATCTGATTCAAATATTGTGGGACTCATTCCTTAACAAATGCTTTCACTTGTATTTTCATTGATCATCTTTCAGTTATGCAGCAATGCAGAAGTGGAAAGGGCTTAATGGCGATGATTTTGTTTTTAATTTATACAAGAGTTTGTACGAGTAGCTGATGCACATCTAGGGATCAAAGCTGACTCTAATAGTAAGCTAATATATATTCTATTATTGTTCAGATTGAAGAAGAGGGATCACAAGATGTTGGAAATGACTCAGCAATGCCCCAACAGAGCAATGGTTCTCCAAATTTTGAAAATGTAAGTGTTTATACTTTCCTATGACTAAGCATACTTAAGAAACTGACTAATGAATTCTCTCTTACCTCATTGTCTTATCCATTTGTTCCAAATAAATAAAGATATTTTTTTCATGTGTGTTGAAATTTAATTTGTTATAGTTATTAATAACATCAAAGCTCAGTTTATCTTCTTTTTATACCATTTTTTTAATGTTTAGAGTAACGAACTATCAAAGGAGATGGCTAACAAAGGCACCGTAAATTCGTCAAATTTTATACCAACAAACAATTTCTCTTTTAATTAATATATTATATGCTTTTTAATTATTTTAACCTTGTTAGAAACTGATATATTCATAATTTATGGGCTGCGTAGAGTGCCAACGCATCAGGAAATGAAATTGTTGAAGAAAAGCTCTCTACAATTCTATCATCTAACTCAAATGTGGTAAGGGTTATTCTCAATTAATACTTTCACCGTTGTGTGTGTGTATTCAGTCTTTTTTTCAGTTATATATGCAGCAACGTAGAAGTGGAAGTGTCTTATAATAATAATCATTTTGTATTTTCATTGACCTTTTTCCTCAATTCATAAAAGACTTTCTGCTTGGTTAATTGAACTTCTTTAAGAACTTATTCATATTTTATGAACTGTACAGAGTACTAAGATATCAACAAATGAAATTGTTGAAGAACAAGTTCCTACTTCAACTACAGCAACAACTCCACCATTAAAGTCTGATAGGGTAAGCATCTTTTCTCAACAAATGCTTTCGCACTGAACAAAGAGAGACTGAAAAATTCTGTGTATTCATGATGGGTAATGCCCATTACATAAATAGTATATTTGGGATGCAAACAGCCATAATATCCCATTATTCTAGCTTATGATTAAGGAGATTTTATCATAATTGCAAGATATAATAAATCTACTATAAGGGGAAGGGAATAATATTAATGGCAGAATAAAATCCCTGAAAGTTAGGAGCTTATTACGCTAACACTCCCCCTCAAGCTGGTGAATAGATATTTATCATTCCTAGCTTGCGACATAACTCTTCGAACTTGGAAAGTCCCTTAGTCAGCAAATCTGCTGTTTGATCACCTAACCAAACATAAATTATTTTAGCCTGCCCCAACTCAAGTTTTTCCATAATAGTGTCTATCTATCTCTATGTGCTTAGTGCAATCATAATGCATAGGGTTCTTGGTGTAGAGATATGATATGATTTGATATGTAAATATTATGTAATTATGATTAGGATTTGATAGGATATGATATCATCATAATTAGCCATTAATGTAGAGGCTCCCCTCACTTGTATATATATGTGTATATTCTGATCAATGAAATACAAGAAAATTATTTTCCATATTCCTTTTACTACACTCGGCAAGGCAGATTGCAGACTTGTTATCACAATATAGTGTCATCTTAGGATCCATTTTAATTTTCAGCTTTGTCATAAGCCTTTGGATCCAAATACCTTCACATATACCAAGTGCTACTGCACGATATTCAGATTCAGTACTGCTTCTAGACACAACATTTTGTTTCTTGCTCTTCCATGTAACCAAATTCCCCCACAAGTAGGTAAAGTAACCACAAGTTGATCTCATATCATCTTTCCTCCGTAGCCCGCATCAGTCTATACTTCTAGATTCCTTGCCCTTCCTTTTCTGAAATGAATGCCCCTGCCTAGTGCTAGCTTTAGATAGTGCAATATTTTGTATGCTATTTGCATGTGTACCTCTCCAGGTTGATGCATAAACTAGCTAATAACACTGACTGGGAAGCATATGTCCGGATGGGTATGAGAGAGGTAAATAAGCTTGCCCACCAAACCTTGGTGCCTTTCAACATTAACTGGTTCTCCAGGATTTTCCAACACATTCCTGAAATCAGGGAACATTGGATTATCTTCAGGACTTGCTCTTAACATGCCGGTTTCCTTGAGTAGATCAAGGGTATATTGTCTCTGAGACACAGTTATCCCTTAGCTTAGGCGAGGAACTTTCATTCCTAGAAAGTATCTCAAACTTCCTAGGTCTTTTACTTCAAAATTTATTGCTAGAGATGTCTTCAATTGCTGTATTCCTTGCAAGTTATCACCTGAGATCACAATATCATCTACATATACTATTAGTATCACCATTTTACCATTAGGATTATGTCTCGCAAACATAGTGTGTTCAGCCTGGCACTGATAATACCCTTCAGCTTTGACAACTTTAGAGAATTTCTCGAACATGCTCTAGGTGATTGCTTTAGACCATAAAGGGATTTATAAAGCCGGCATACCTTTCCACCAGTTTTTTCTAGGCCAAGAGGAGCGTCCATGTAAACTTCTTCTACTAGATCGCCATTTAAAAAGGCATTTTTGACATCCAATTGGTGTAAGGGCCAATATAAATTTACAGCAAGTGAGAGGAGAATTTTAATTGTATTAAATTTAGCTACAGGAGCAAAAGTCTCCTGATAGTCTATTCCCTCTATCTGTGTGAACCCCTTAGCCACCAATCAAGCTTTATATCTATTGATGCTCCCATCTGGATTGAATTTCTTGGTAAATATCCACATGCACCCAACTGTTGATTTTCCTGGTGGTAAATCAACCAGTTTCCAGGTTTGGTTCTTTTGTAGTGCATCTAGCTCCTCCTTTATGGCCTCTTTCCACTTGGGGTTCTTTACAGCTTCATGGAAATATTCTGGTAGCTTTTCTTCATCTAGCTTAGTGACAAAAACCTGCATTTTATGTGACAATTTGTCATATCCAATAAAATTGCAGATGGGATGTTTCGTACAGCACCTCTTGCCTTTCCATAGGGTTATGGGCAGATCTTAGAAGTAGGGGTAGAATCATGTTCTAGCATGGGAACTTGGACAGATTCTTCTGGGTCATTGTTAGATTCCTTTGATTTAGCATTTGGGACATTTTGTTTTAGCCTTCTCTTATAGATAAAGACCTCCTTCTTGTGTTGCTTTGCTCCCCCTGCATTTGTATCTACTGCCTCCATAGTATTGCCATTCGTAGGTGTAGGCTCAACATTTTGGTGATGTTTTATCAGTTTTCGATTCAGGTTCTGGATCTGTAATAGGTTCAGGTTCAGTGCTGTTTTGGATGTTTTGGTGGGATTCACGTTGTTCAGGTTGTTTAGGAATTTGTTCAAGGCAAGGTGCTTGGGTGGTTGTTTTTGTTTCAAGTGTGGGATTAGGTATAGTAGGCAAAAAAGTCTATTCACTCTCAAAATTCTCCCCCTGAATAGACATTTTTGGATAATGGATTGTTCTTCAAAGAAGGTGACATCCATGGACACAAAATATCTTTTAAGAGTGGGAGAATAGTACCTATAACCCTTTTGAGTTGCTGAATAACCCAAGAAAATGCATTTATGAGCCCTAGTATCAAGTTTATTTCCATGCATGTTGTGAACAAAGGCAACATAACCAAAAACCTTTTGAGGGACTGTGTTTACTAAAGGTATTAAAGGATAGATTTCAAACAACATTTGCAATGGGGTTTTGAATTTGAGGGTTTTTGAAGGTATCCTATTGATGAGAAAAGTAACAGTAAGGACAGCATCTCCCCAAAATTGATTTGGAACATGTTTGGTGAACATGATGGCTCTAGTAACTTCTAAGAGGTGTCTATTTTTTCTTTTAGCAACCCCATTTTGTTGGGGTATGTGGGCACAAGAAGTTTGATGAATAATGCCGTAAGAATCAAGATATTTACTGAAGGATTGGCTTAGGTACTCTTTTGTATTATCATTTCTAAAAATTTGAGATTCAGTCTTAAAGTGATTTTAAACAAATTTATGAAAAGTTTTGAAAATGTCAAAGACTTGGGATTTTTCTTTCATGAGATAAACCCAGGTAGTTCTTGTGTGGTCATCAATAAAGGTGACAAACCAACAGTGCTGGTTGACAGTGTGAGTTCTAGAGGGTCCCCAGATATCACTGTGAATAATCGAAAAAGGTTTGGTAGGTTCATAATGTCGAGAGGGATATGTGTTCTTAGTGTGCTTAGAGAATTGGCAATGCGCACATGACAAAACATCAACTTTATTAAATAAACTTTGATACAAGAACTTCATATATGAAAGACTAGGGTGTCCAAGTCTATAATGCAGCAATTCAACATTATTATTTTTAGAGGCAGCAGCAACAAACTTCTTCCCATGATCCATGATTAGGTAGTACAATCCGCCAAGTTCCATAGCTTGTCCAATCATCTCCCCCGACCTTATATCCTGGAAAATAGAGCAATTAGCATAAAAAATAGCAATGCAGTGAAGTGTTTTTGTAATCTTGCTAATAGTTATTAGATTACAATTAAGACCTGGTGCAAATAGAACATCACTAAGTTTAATCTTCTTTGTAAGATCAACTATACCACTTCCTTGAATTTTGGTTCTATCTCCATTTGCTACTTTAATCTCTTGATTCCCCAAATATTTTTGGAGACTAGAGAAAACAGTATAATCTCCACTCACATTATCAGTGGCACCTGAATCAACTATCCAAGTGTCATTAGGGAAGTTTGTAGCTATTAAACAAGTATGTATAATACCTAATCGTGCTAGATTACTAGCACTTATATTCTTATCTGGTTGCTCATGTTGGCTAAGAATTTTCTTTAGCAAATCTAGTTTAGTGGAAGATAGTAGGCAACCTTTAGAATTATCTTCTTTGGGTGTACTTGTTACAGTATTGCCTCTTCCTTCAGTTCTCTGCCTTAACCTTAGATTTGGAGGCTTTCCATGCAACTTCTAACAAGCGTCACATGTGTGGCCACTCCTTTGATAATGGTCACACCACTCTTTCCCTTGTTTCTTGTTTGGTTTTTGCTCTACACCTCCCTTGGTCATTAAGGCTAATGAATCTGCAATAGCAACTGGGGCATTTTGAGTGAGTTGTCGTTGACTTTCCTCACATTTTACAAGGTTGACTATTTCTGCAACAGATGGCAGTGGACGTGTAGCCATGATTCTGGCTTGAACAACTTCATATACTAGATTGAGACCTAGCAAAAATTCATAGGCACGTTGGCGTTCTACAAGTTTCCTATAACAAGCCATATCAGTGTTAAATTGCCACTGTTGAGGGTCATATAAATACAATTACTGCCAGAGTTTCACAAGAGTGGTATAATATTGAGTGACAGAATTACTTCCCTAAGTTGTCTCATAGAGAATCTTTTGAATGTGAAAAAGTGCAGCTGTGTTCTCAATAGTAACATAAGTAACCCGAGCATTCTCCGAGATTTCCTTAGCACTAGTTGGCAGAACAAGCTACTCACTAATCTCAGACATCATGGAGTTGATAAGCCAACCCATGACTTGATTGTTCTTGGCGACCTAGGTCTGGAATTTTTTATCTGTGGACTCGAGCTTCACAGCAGCATCTATCAGGTAGTGTTCTCGTCCCTTTCCTCTGAGGAACATCAACATGGCGTGAGACCACTGTAGGTAATTGTGTCTGTTCAGCCGGTGGTTGGCTAGTGGGGACAGATTCTCTATGGTCTGCGGAACAGAAATATTTGAGAGGTTCGGCATTTTTGGCACTCCATCATTAGAACCTGAGTTAGTTTTTTGTTTTGACTCAACCTGGAATGCTCCCATCGAACCAAAGGAAATCATCTCTGTTTGCTTTGTTCGTGCTCTGATACCATGAACAAAGAGAGATTGAAAAATTCTGTGTATTCATGATGGGTAATGCCCATTATATAAATAGTATATTTGGGATGCAAACAGCTATAATATCCCATTATTCTAGCCTATGATTAAGGAGATTTTATTATAATTACAAGATATAATAAATATGCTATAAGGGGAAGGGAATAATATTAATGGCAGAATAAAATCCCTGAAAGTTAGGAGATTATTACACTAACACGCACTTGTATATTTATCAAAGTTGACGCTACGGGTAATCTAATTAAAACAAATTTAATAAACAAATGGAGCCAAGTATTCAAGAAGGTACCAAAATAAGAGGAAGCTAGAAAGGCATATTAAATCATGAATTCAGAATTAAGTAATACATCACAAACGGATCTGCTATTCCTTTAATAGTAAGAATATAGTCCTTCTTGATATGGGTTGAGTTAGCTGCTAAATGACATGACCCTGTGATAGTTTTTACATTTTTATGTTCATTCAGGATAATTTGGTTTACAATGTGAGTTCATCAACTCATTCTAAGCTAACAATCTCAAATCTAGGCACATCAGTTTTTATAAAGGTAGGTTTGTTTCATTAGTTTTTTGCTTTAAAAATATCTCTTGTTGCTTAATTATTCCTTTGCTTAGGAGTTATGTGAAAAGGAACCAATGTGTGATCAACAAGCACTTGGAGAAAGTAGAAGCTCCTATAAAGCTCTTCAAAGAGTTCAAGAACCTACTAATGAATGCCCTTCCAAAGAAACATCAAACGAAATGGCACTGATGATTCCAGAATCTATTACTGGAATGAACCCTCCTCTGGTAAATATTTGGTTTTCAATATATCTGCATTATTGATACATTATTGATTCTCATTCAGATTAGCTTCCATATTTCTATTCTCTTAGATCTCTTCAATCTGTTCTCCAAAAAAGCCTCAAAATGAAACTTCAGCTGCTCACTTGAAAATGGAATCAGGAAGCTCTACTGTTACTGATCAATCTGCACAAGTAAGCCTTCATTTTATTGCACCAATTTAGGATGGAATTTGTTCTTTAAAACTGGTATAAGCTAATGCTAGAATAGAAAAATTTGATAATCAACTAGTAATTCCCTTTTCTGTGAAGCAAATGGTGCGTATTTTAAATATACTATACATTAACTTCATTGCCAAATTTGGGAAAGTTATGTACATTATGTTATTCTATAATAATAGGGACTCAGACCAACAAACATATAGTTTCTCTTTAAATTAATATACGATATGACATGCTTCTTAATTATTTAAACCTTTTATAGTAACTTATTGATATTTTATGGGCTACATAGATTACCAATGCATCAGCAAATGAAATTGTTAAATAAACACTTTTTACAACTCCATCATCGAATTCAGACATGGCAAGGGTTATTCCTCAATCAATTCCTTCATTGATGTAATATACACTGATTTTTTTTCCCCCAGTTAAGTAGCATTGTGGAAGCGGAAATGTCTTTAACGGTAATGTTTTATAGATAGGAGTTGGTAAGAGCCTCTAATGAACGACTGATTATTAAAGTTGACACTATCAGTAGACGTATTAAAACAGATTTAAGATACCAACAAATTGTAAAAGGAAAAAAAATCCAATTTATATTTATTAAGTTGCTTCATCTTCAAAAACAATAGTCTTTCTCATACGAAACCTCTTTCATAGAAAATTGCAAAAGGATAAAATTGAAATACAGTAATGTTGGTCAATCTTTTTATATAATGTGATTGACTTAGAGAAGAGACTGTCATTTTTTTTTTTTTAAGGTGACCTATATATAGATCCTAAGGGAGTACAGAATCTAGCAAGTTAAGAAATAAAGAGATGACATTGTGCTTCCAGAATCCTGATATGGGCCGAATTTATGATAAGAAGACGGAACTTTCAGTTGCTTTTGTCATATTGATCTTCATTTAGGATAATTTGATGTTGTGAGAATGTCAAGGAAACTTTTAGGGAAGGTCCTTCATTAGAGAAATATGACAAAGCAAATTCTTCAACTTATTCGAAACCAAAAATTGGAAAAACTTATACATTAGATACTTTTAAGGTAAGCTTTCTGCATTCAAAATTTTAGCTTTAAATTCATGTCTTGTTTATTCATTCCTTTGCTTAGGAGTTATGTGGAAAGGAAATGGGTGATCAACAAGCACTTGGAGAAAGTAGAAGTTCCAACGAAGCTCCTCAACGAGTTGAAGAACCTGCCAATGAATGTTCTTTCAAAGAAACATCAAACAAGATGGCATTATGGATTCCACCATTTGTTACTGGAATGACCTCTCCACTGGTAAATATTCGGTTTTTAACATATTTGCACTATTGATACATTAGTGATTTCCATTCAGATTAAGTTTTCTATTCCCATGCTCTTAGATCTCTTCAATCGCTTCTCCCAAAAGCCTCAAGTGGCGGCTTCAACTACTCACATAGAAATGGAATCAGGCAGCTCTGCTGTTACTAATCAATCTGCACAAGTAAGCCTTCATTGTATTGCATCAGTTTTGGGATCTAATTTTATTCTTTAAAACTGGCATATACTAATGCTATAATAGTACAATTTGATCATCAACTCGTACCCATATAGTCTGTATATGATACTTTGCAAATTAATGCTTCATTTCATTTGCTTCAGGGCCAAATTATGGTCAATCAAAAGGAGACCTCCATTGATGATGATTTTATTAGATTACTTCGAATAATGAAGGATGGCTCCGACTTGGAAATTGGCCTGCCTTCTATTTCCAAACTTGCTGCTCTTGAAGATGACAAGGTGGCTAAGGCCTTTGTTGACATAGAATCCTCATTAAAAATGGATCTCCATCAGATAGCTAACTCAGAAGAACACACTAATCGCCTTGAGAATGCACTCAACCTCTTGTCCACTCATTTTTCTGAAGAAGAACCTTCCTCTCACGGCCTTATTAGAGGCAAAACAGACTCTCTTCATCAAGAAATTCAAAGAATTCTCTCATCGTTCAAGCAAGCTTCTGGTAACCTTGACAAATTCACCAAGCTTAGAGAAAAAGAGAAGTGGATCGATGAACAACATTCTCAAAGGATGGAGGAAGCTACTACTCTTGTGTCTGAAATCTGCAATACTGAGGATTATATGATTAAACTGAAGGAGCAAATCGCTAGATTGCAGGCTGAATTGAAAAGCAAAGGAGAAGAATTTGAAGACTGTGAAATCAAACTGTCATCTCTTCGGAAACAAAAGAAGGAATGTGTCTTGGACACCATAAGGCTAATGGAAGAGTATGAGGCTATGAAGAAAGACAAGTCCTATGTGGTGGATGGCCAAACAAAACCAAGCCAAGAACTAAAAAAAGTGGAAAATCAATGGCCCTCTTGTGTGGCTGAATTGAGGAAAACTGCACTTTTGCTGGGAATCCTTCTTCAATAGAAGCTCTGATAGTTGGATATTGTCATGTTTATTCCGATTACTTTGATTTAGTTCAAAGTATGGGCTGGTTTAGTACTTGATAAAGACTTGTTAATTTATATAGAACTAGTTTCCATGCTTATTGCAGTAATAAGTATCATGACACTCAGTTGACTGGAACTTAAATGGTTTGAAGTTTGAGAACCTAAGTTGTTATGGATATTTTGAGTACTGTATTGGGTGATATTATTCATATTATGCACAGCAAAGTATTGACATTATTTCTCCATTGTAACGTTTTGAAGGGAAAAATCACCTATTAAGCTTTACCGTGCAGCAAGGAGATATTTCCTATCTTTACACAAGAGACTTCTTCATTTGCAGCAAATTGTTACATTTTCTTCATTAAATCAGGAGATGAATTTTCGAAGAATTAAAGATCGTATAAACATAAAGAGGACCTTCATTATTTTGGTTGTGGTCATAGATGTCAGCAAATAACTTTAGTACAACATGTAGATTTGGGCAGAGAGAGACTATAGTGGTTGGGATTGGAGTTTAGAAGAACCTCTTTCTCTATGTGATATGATACATGCACCACTGCACCACAGATATTTGCACCGGTAATATTTTAGATTTTTTTTTTTGGGGCCAGAGGTAATATTTTAGATTAAAAAGGTAACATTTAATTCAAATCACACACATTGCACCATTCAACATATACACCACCCGCTTTCTAGAGAGACACACTGGTTCTTATTCATGGATGAAATGTTTTGTTTAATACTTTAATTTATGATTTTAAAAATCTAACTTGGATAGCATCAATGTAATTGGTGAGCCATTTTCCTAGTCAATTCAATCAAGAATTTTGGACCAATTAACTAAATTAGATTTTTACTAATCTTGAAACGATGTCGTTTTGAGTGGGAAAAAAAAACTGTTCTCTTTGATCCTTATTACGGGGCATTTCTAATTAACTCTTACATGTTAAAGAATGGTAGTTAAGTCATTAAATTTATTCTAAATTAATAATTTTTTTAAGTTTATCCTTGAAAGACGATGTTCAAAGAGGTTATTTGGAAAAAACTAAACCCCAATTAGTAATAAGGATAAAATGAAAAAAGAACAGTAATTAATGAGTGAATCAAGGACTTATATTTAGGATAAAAAATTGCTATTACAATAGAGTAAAATTTTAACCTCCCTTACATTTTATCTTAATTACACGGATTTTTCTTCTATTTTGAAAATATATACTTAAATCCAAAATGTTAATTCTGTTAAAAATATTTTAAAAAGATGCTTTTTTAATTAAAATTTATACGAAAATACTTTTTGCTTACTAATTTACCCTTCATAATACTAAATTCCTAAATTTTGACTACAAAACTATTTAAAAGAATTTAAGATTTTTTCTTTATTTAACTTAATTTATTTTATATTTTTACAAATTGTTGTTTGTTTTATATTTTTATCATATTGAGCAAAAAAATTAAGTAATTTAGTTAATGTAAACATAAAAAAATTAAAAGAAATTTGATTAATTCTTTAGATAAGCATATTATCGATCAAATTAAATAAGTTATGAATGTTTGGAACCAATTTTTTTAAAAAAATTAAATTATAAATTTAAATAATTTAAATAATTTTTCAAACTCACATAATTTATTATTTGATAAAAAAATAATAATTTAAAATATTTTCTAGTCATTTGAAAAAAAAACTTAAGTTTCAATATTTTATGAAGAATTAAAATTATATATTCCATAATATGATCAAAATTAATAAATTTTATAACATATTAAAAAGTTTTAAAACACATGTATTATAATTATTTTTGTTGTATCAAAATTATTTTTTATAAATATAAATGTTTAAATAACATTGATATTTTGTTCAAAATAGAAGTTTGAAAATCAAACTTAATAATCAGTGGTCAGAATAGAAATAAAATTTCAAAAATATGAAAAGATTTATGTAACATATATTTTAATTTTAAAAAATTTATATATTTTTTGATAAAGAAAGGTTTCTATAATTTAGGTAAACAGAGACATAGTCATTTATTTTACTCATTATAATAAGAACAAAAAGAAGTACTAGTAAGTTGGATTTATAATATTTTGTCTATTTTGTTTATCATGTGTTTTTTAGAGATTAACCTTAAATTAATATCTTCTTTATTTACTTAAATGTATTATACTTTTTTATTTAGGATTATATTACTTTTTTTAGGTTATATATAAATATTTTTATATAGTTTATAACTATGATTATGAGCGGGTTCTGCTTAGTATAGTTCAGTACAACTACAACATTGCCTCTTAATTAAATCACTGCCTCCGCCAGTTGATTCGTGACTAATCCGTTTTAGACTTCTAGTCGCTTGGTTTAATTCATCTAAAGCGGCCCAATAAAATCTTTTTATTGCATCTGTATCCAAAATTCATCAATATTTGTAATCTCTGCGGCTGCATAGAGCTAGCGAGAAAGAGGACCATCCGCCATTGCTAATTACGCCATTACGCCAATGGCGCTTTCGATTTCAACTCTGAACCATTTCGCATCCACACAACTCAAATGCTTTCCTTCCAACTTCACCATTCTCGCCTCCTCCTTTTCCTATCTTGTTCCTTCTTCTGCCTCCTCTGCCTTCTCGCCGAGGAGATTTTCTGCGCTGGCCATTCCTAAACGCTGTCGTTTCCGACGCGTTTCTGCTGCCTCTGCTGCTTCTGGAGATGACGATTCCCGACGGGCTGGTGAACTTTCGTCCCTCTCACCTGAAGTTGTTGTTCTCAATGTTGAGGTATGGGCTGTGCGTTTTTTCTGGAAGTTTATTTTTTTTTCTTTTTTTTTTTTTTTTTTGTTACTCTTTCCCCCTTATATTTTGTTGCGTCTGTGAGCTAGGGTATGATGTGCGAGGGATGTGCAGATAGTGTGAAAAAGCTTCTGGAGAGTCGAGTAAGTTTATTGGCTTTACTTAAGGCTTGGTTTAAATCGATTTTTGTTGTAGTGATATAATTCCATGAGCATCCATCATTCTAGTGACGACATGACATGTTTTTGTACGGAAATATAGACTAGGTGTGAAAAGGATGGTTCTTGCGGATTCATGTTAATAAGCCTTGAGTGCAGGGGTAGGGAGAAATTAAATTAGCATTCATGTTAATATCTTTCCAACCTTATCTTTTTCTGACTAAGATTGAAAAGAGAAAATGTGGTATGGATTATTAACGATATATTTCTTCTTAAAATACATAAGCATGTAAATCTTGTATTTTCGGCTATCTAAGGCTCTGTTCTATGCTTTTTTCTTTTTCAATAATGGACAGCCTCAAGTATCATCTGCTAGCGTAAATCTGACAGAAAAACTAGCAACATTTTGGCCAGCACCTGAAGCAAAAACTGAATCAAATTGGCATAATAAATTAGGAGGTGGACTTGCAGAGCATTTAACAAACTGCGGCTTCAAGCCTAGCCTTCAAGGTAGAATTCAAGACCATCAGCTTTTTTATCGTGCCATTCAGTTTCCATACATTTCACACCGTTTCACCACAGTTGATGCAGTGCTAATATGTTTGATTTATGAAATTTCATGTGAATGTCGAGATAGAATCATGAAGCTTATGATAATACTATTAGCCTGGCACTTATAAATTTAATTTCAATGTATCAAGGAAAGCTGCAAAGTAGACAGCTCTTTCCCTATACCTTTCTATCCATGAACTTCCATTCCTGAGTAAGCCTAGAATACATATTGAGATGCTCTGTGGCCCCTCGAGAAGAGTTCTGTCTATCTGCTTGACTGCTGTGAACATTGATCCGTGTATGAAATGAAGTTGTGTGAACAAGAGAGGAAAAAATCTGCTTCAACAAAGAGAACCTTGGTTTATTTCAAGTTATTTAACATGTTTTCATGTAGAAAATAATTTCATTCAGGCCTTCCTCTTCAATATTCCACCTTCGTCATTCCAAACCAAATTACTGCTGTATGGGTCTCTGAAACTTCTAAACATCCCTCTTTATTCACTGTTTGGTCAGCGTAGCCTTCATATCCAGTTGCTTGCATATTTCTCAAAAATCGGGTGCTTTTTTTTTTCTTTTTTTTTTGGCAATACTTGGTATTGTATTATCAATTCAGATCCCTGATTGTGCTACCGTCCGTCTTATGTGCTACTCAGTTGTATATTTACTGAAAAATTGCAAGTCAGTATGGTGTTGTGGCTTGCTTGAATTTTTCCTTTTTCAGGGGCATTTCGTTTGTGAAAAATCCTACTTATTTAAAGTATGGTTGTGCCCTTGCATTATAAATTCACCTTTGAAATCATTCTTCTTAAATGAGATTTTAGATGTTACCATGGCGTATACAGTAAATTTGCTTCACACGAAGCTTGCTGGGTTCAATGGCAGGTCAGGAAGATGGAGACTGAAGGAGTTATACCATAAAAGAGAGGGTGGTCATCTGGAGTCAAGGGTATTTCAACAATTCACATGTATCTCTATAGGTTTTATGATTTTTGTTTTCAAAATATAGCTTCCCTCTTAGATGTATGTGTAGAGTTCAAAAGGATTGTTGATTATTGATATGTTATAGACTCTCTCATGAGCAGGCAAGTCTCTGAGGCTTCTTGTGGTGGGGTATTTGATAAAGAGATCTGTTCTTGGCCGCTCTGCATCTTGAAGAATTTGCTGATTGCTGATGTTCAATATAAGCAATCCATCAAGATTTTTCAAAGGGCTCAGTTAATGTGAAGTTGATTGTATATAGTTGGCATGATAGATGGGAATATCTAGTGTACTTAATTGATGTCTTGACTTTTGTCTATGATTAATGTATTTTACGCGACTACATTGATTCTCTTCTCGGTAATGAGCTAATGCCCTCACATTTGGTCTCAATCCTTACAGGTGAAGTGAGCATGATGTCAAAAGTTCGATCCTTGCCCCATTCCATTACTTCCAAGGCTTAGGAGCCTTCTTTGTACTGGAATCCAACATTAAAGTATTTTCTTTTGAAGATTTATTTCATCTACAATGTCCAGTACACATACATACGTATTGTGTGTATCAAAATAAAATTCACTTGTAGTTTATAATTTGATATTGGGAGACCCTAATAATTTGTTTATAACAAAATAAATAAAGCCTTACTGTAAGCCTTTGAACGAAAATGAGGCTGCCCGTAGAGTGTCATCACTTTGCTATTTGCAGACAAGTTTACTGTTTGTTTACACTTATATTAAATCGGGACAAAATTTCTTTTAAATAGTTATCTTATATTTTATAAATCATGATTGAAAAACTGTTAATAAGTTATTTAAAAAAAAAGTTGTATATTTTTCCCCCAAATAAGAACCTTTTGCCCAAAAAAAAAGAAAAAGGCAAAGGAACTCAACCTGTAAATTCTTCATTGAATCGAAATCCTCAGATTTAATGTCAAAGTCCAAAATTTTAATCTTTCGGATCAATATGCTTTTATCGCGTTATAACTTTTGAATACTCCGAACTTCTTCCCATTCAATTTCCGTATCTATCAAAAGTTACAAAAAAAAACAAAGCATCATGTTACAAAGAAACTATGATTTCATTTGTGGTCTAATCAGTACATTATCTCTTGGAAGAAAGTCAAAGCTAGAACAAGAAGCAATTGAAAGACTTGCACAAACTCATAGTAAAACCACGGAAGAATGAAATTGAGTACATAATTAGCTGCGACTGTACAAAAACAAAGATTTTATAGCTGCTCTCTTGACAGTCTTTAAATATATGTGAATTTGATGCATCCAAGATGTTCTTTCACGGCAACCAGCATTTTTTTTAAAATAAATATCTATTTCTCTTTGTTCTCAGTCCATTCCCTTTCTATATATCCAAGAGGGCAACGTAACAAACGGAAAATTGAGATGAACTCTGAAGATATGCGCCTATAGGGGATCCAAACAACGAGGAATGATCTAATAAACAATTCTATGCGCTCCAAAGAGAGATGATTCCAAGCACCACTCACTTCCATGTTTTATCTTGGTAGCGAAACCAACACGGTCAAACCATGTAAGTCATGCAAACCTGCATCAGATTTGAGTGGGGTACGCTTAAAGTTGTGACCCCCCTCCTGCAGTTCTTTCTCAAGAAAGCATAAAAATAATTAATAACCAGCTTCTTTATAAATCAGGAATCCTTCCTTGCCTTTATATCCCCATGCCCCAGAAGATAAACAACTCCGGATTCTTTTGCTTTCCGTATAAAACAGCTCTCTTTCAAGACTTTGCTCAGCATCAAACACTGGGGGACTTGACGATGCCGGGTTAACCTCTGATGTGCTTGCATCTACCATGGAGTTGTGTGTATCCTGGAAATCAGCCAAAAGAGGAACACCAAGTGAGTAGACACTCCCATTGGGAGCTACGAGAACCCTTGAAACAGAATTCTCTTCCTCTGCATCTGAATCATCATCCCCATCACTTTCCAGTGATCGCTCTTGAGCCTCTCGACGTATGAACTTCTCCGGGCTCTCTATTAGCAACTGCTCAAAAGCCTGGTGATTTACTTTGCGAACATCTTTATAACAATATCTGTTGACATGTAAACAGTTGAGTTACAAAAAATAAAATAATGAAAATGTGAAATCATTCACTAGAAGGCCCACAAATCATTCCTTGCATAAGTTTAAGCAAAGCTATTGCTAGCATCGTTTCTTAGACTAACATAACAAACATTCCGCCAATGCATATGATTTTTCTAATGTTAAGCATGTTCTGTATTTTAAATCCCCACTGATCTCATGTAATGCAGATTTACATATCCTGGATACCCAAAGCGGACAAAAGAAAACACAAAATATAAAAAAATAAAAGAACTACCTGGCAATGCAGCGAAATATATGGTAGCTTTTAGGGCAGACCCGCCGGAAAAGGAACCTTTCACTTTGAGGCACCACAGGAACTGGAACATATTTGATGCATACAAATATAATCACGGAGTGCTTTGCTGGAAGCGTAGTCAGAAAATGACCAAGAATTGCTGGAATTCCTTTAACCAACTCGTTATACAATAAACCTATCCCAGGAGCTCGAATTGTCCCAAGATTGCAACCCAATTCTCGCATTAGATCCATTGACAGCTTTTGCTTGACTTCGGTTTCATACTTGAGCTTGCTCCCGTAATTCCATATATACATGATAAGAAACATTATTATGCCAAAGACCAATATTACCCAACTTCCATCTCCCACACTCCACAAAACTGATGAAAAGAAAGTCAATTCCAATCCCAAGAACACTACCACAAAACTCAAAACTATGATGATGTGGATCTGCCATATAAGAAGCATAACAGGGGTTACCAAAATAGTTGTCGTCATCATCACCCCGATCTCAGCAATGCCTGAAAAAAGAAATTGGAATATGCTAAATACGAGAAACATGCACAATTAGAAGATCTACATATTTCTATTACTATTACCATTATTATTATACCACCAGGCATTTTCAAAGGCTAGAAACTAAAGACAGCTAAATTCTCATTCTTCCATTGAGCTAGCAGAAAGAAATTATTATTCTTATTTTAATTCAATTGGGGGGAAAAACTTATCTGAGAAACAAGGAGGCATACAGCTAGACACTCTCCCAAAGAAAGGACAAAAAAGAGAGCTATCAATGCTAAAAAAATATGAGGCTAGCCAAACCCTCCACCGCACATGAATGAGTTTACCATTGGAAAAAAAAGGAAAAAAACAAAGAAGACAATGGGTTCTTAACCTAAGAGAGGCAGTAAAAAGCAACATGTCCCTTATCATATGAGATGACAATGAAATGGCCCTGAGATATGCATTCCTTTTTCTTTCCCCCTTTTTTAGATGAAAAGTTCTACAAGAATTCAATAGCAATTTTTGTTCGCATCTATATGGGATAAAAGTGATAACAAACACTTCTCAAGAATTCCATATCTGAAATAAATACAAAAGCTATTTATATTATTAAAATATACAGGATGTGGTTGTTCTGAGCATAAAACACCTGAAAAGCAGGGTAAAGATGGTTTTTATGCAATTGAGATCTCTTAAAAAAGGTCCAGAAGTATTATTCTCAACTAGCAGACGACATGAAAGAGGCACAAAAAAAGAAATTGAGAGGTGTGCTTGGATTGAGAAGGAAAGTGAAATTTTAATGTTAATATTTTATTTGATTTTATTTAGATTATAAAGCTAACATTTTTCTTCCATTCTCCTCATTCAAATCTAACTCCAAGAACATTCAAATTTTGATGTTAATATTTTATTTTATTTTATGGAATAATGTCAATTAATGAATCCGAACAAAACAAATTAAAGTCTCATTTTCATCGATGACAATGGGAATCACCATTGAAAGTATGCCTTTCAAAACTTTTGGTATGGACTATGGCATTAATTAATTAGAAGTAAAAGCGTGAAGATTCTGATCGATATAGAATGTAATCATATTTTAATTAGATTATTTAACCTTACGAAATATGTTGTTGATGCAGACTATACTTATATCATAATAAATTGTTTAATACTAATTCACACCTACTCTCCACCTTATCAACCCATCTTCACATATACTATTTTTCAATCCTTTTCCTGCCAACTTGCATTTATCTTGTGATTACATATATTCAATTTGACAAAGGCCTCATGTTTATCTATTCTCAATATAAAATGGAAAATGATGAGCCCTCTTAAATATTCTACTCATCTAGCCCTATTTATAAAGCAAAGAGAAGAAATATCTTGGTCCTATTTATACAGTAGAGAGAAAAAATTTTCATCTGAATTTATAATTTTACCCTTTATTTATTATATTGATTTTATTCTCATGTGGTATAATATATGTTAAACAGAGATAAAATTAAAAAGTTATTAAATTTTAAAGAGATTTAATGAAATTTAAAGTCTTTCTTAGTCTGTGAAACAAATTGGAAGTGAATTACAAATAAGACCGGAAACTTTTGAAACTGTGTATTATTAGCACTAATCAAGTAAACACCAATTGTTTTTTTTTAAAAAACGTAATCTAAGAATTAGTTGTTGCTACTTATTTATGCCAATACCTCCTCTGCTATTGACCACAATAGCTGTTTTCTGCTTCTTCGTTCTGTCTGCAATTTCTATGCTCTTCCTGGCTTCTCGCTTTTGTTTCACTCTTCAATCACCAAAAAGCTTTTTATGTTCTTGTTCTTCCTTTAAAAGGAGAGGGAAAAAAAAAAGATTTTACGGGTTTGGCTTCTGTTTCAGAGTTTGTCTATTGAAGGAACCTGTTTTTCAAGCTTTATTTTCTTGTATCTTAATTGTTTGTCTACTGGTGATCATCGTGATCTTTGTTTTCCTAGTTCTTATTTAGAAAAAATCCAAAAAAAATCGTGTTCAAATCTTCTTTCTCCCTAATAGTGATCATCTCATAGTTCCTTTTCTTAAAAACCAAAAAAAAAAAAAATCAAAAGTTTCTGAAAGGTAAGGATTTATACTTCATGATACTTATTATGAATTATGTTTACATCTTTTACACACCCCACACATATATGGTCTCTTAAAATTTTTTTTTTCCCAACTTGTTTTTATTTCTCAGGTCTTGATTGGCCACGTGAAGCATACTTGAAGATTTCGATTCCTGTTTGCGGGTTAGTATATGTATAGTTTTAATAGTAAATTTCATTTATTTATAGAAACTTTTAGGGTAGCTCTCTTAAATTATAAACTAAAGTGGGCTATTTATAGTTACAGAGTATAAAATTAGCTGTATATTCTGCTATTTGTGAGCGACACGGTTCTTTATATTTTCTATATTTCATATGATTGTTGATATTGTTATGGTCTAGAAAGTTTATGAAAACAATAATTACTTGCATATTTTTAGGTTTTTATCGATGGTTTAAATAAGGCTGCACAAATCACTATTTAAAAAAAAAAATCAACATACCCATATTATCTCTTAAAAATTTTTTCTATGTTTTTAATAAGTTTTTAAGGGTTTTTTTTGGACCAAAATTATTTTTTCCCATTAAATAATTAAAATTGTAAGAAACTCCTAAATGTATTTTTCTTTCTTTTTTCCATTGATATTCTTACATCTTTAATTAGCTGTCTTCTGCACTAATTTTCTTAAACATATTTCTGCTATTAATTTTTTTGTCGCACAGAACCCTTTTTAAG